GAATTCTACCGATTGTAGAGACTTCATTGATGAATTCTTCTGCACTAAACTTGGAATTTTCTAGAACTTTAACGGCAATTAAAGAACCACTATGAAGTATTCCTTTGTAAACTGATCCAAAGCCACCTTGGCCTAGTTTTTCTTTAAAATTGTTTGTCACTACCATTAGCTCAGGGTAAGCGTACCTTTTAGGCATCCAGGATTGCTGATTGTGCAGAAATTTCTCCACAGTATCAACCTTCTTCCTTCTTGTTCTATAGTTGAAGATGAGGTCCACAACTAAAACTATTGGAGCACCAATAAATCTGCAAATAAGAACCACTGGAACTACCACTGCAAACCCAACAGCAAAGTAAAGAGAGTTAACTGAGGTACTTAATCATAGTCGGTGCAATACAAACAGGAATTAATTACAGCCTGGGAATTATACCGAGCAGAAGCTGTCCAAGGAGGAATCCCATATTCACATGCCAATCCATGAAATATGCTTCATATTTAGCGAAACCACCACCTGCATAGACCCAGAAAGACATAAAAAATTAAGCTTTATGAAGCTATATTATCCAGTAACTCAAGGCAATATTAAGGATAGGGGTTCCAGCTAGGAAATCATACGCAACGACAGGATGGACTCAACGAGTACACCATATGTATTACTCCACAAGTATTCAATGACCGGATCTGCATTAGCACAAAAAAAAAGAAAAAAAAAAAAAACGGAGTTCAAGCGTTACAAAGACATAGCAGACCGAAGACGCATGGAAAAGTACAAAGAAATCAACAAAGTCATCACACGATTTATCAATACATATGTAGAAAGATGAACTTAGTGCAGTTACAGATTTTTTGCAATAACGTGAATATCCTGTTGTCCTTGCCGTAACAGAACACATACCATCAGAGGCAAGACAATCCCTGCACTCAAAGGACCATGTAAGATTGAAACCTGACTGCAGAGACTTGCGGATGGTTCGGTAATGATATGTGCTCTTAGGAAACAGCTCATATGGCCTATAGTATATAGGAGTCACTGCATTTAACGAGCAAAACTGATACTGATACTCTAGATAATAAATTGTAACATAAGAATGAGACTGATTTTCACTCAAGCAAGGAATTCTTGTGAAAAACGGATCATTAATCTTCTGAGAGCACCGGAAAAATGTGGCATAACTGTAGTTACCATCTAGTTCTAGTCCAAAATTAACATTAATGGAAAATTCATTTAATATGTCGCCTGCTGACAGAGATCCGTATGGAAGGCGGTAGGTTCCACTGGATAAGTTAACATCAACAACACTGATAGTCTTTTCTTTATATGAAATTCCCTTCACATAGTACTTTCCTGAATGAAATTCTAGGATGGTTTTGTTGCTTTGGCATGAAAGTTCGAAGTTAGAATGACCACATACTGCTGGATCGCCCTTAAGGCGAAAAGGGTATCTTATGTTATTGATGTCTTCACATGAAGAAGAACATTCTTGTTGAAGTTTTCTTGCTTGTATTTCTGTGATGAACAGGAAGATCAACACAGAAACAAGAAAATTTGAAAACGTTAATAATGATCCTTCCCTTCTCATGGTTCTCTCTTCCCCAGTGATACTATGAATTTGCATATCTTCCAATACGGTCATGTAATAGTAGACTTAACTAATTACCCATATGTGGGTCATGCAAATGGTCTTTCATGTTCATTGACTTGAAATGATATCCAGATCACAAAGTACACGTCTCCAACTAGTGGCTTAAACTTCAAATTTCCGAGTCAACATGCCGGGAAGTAGACTTGGTTTTGACAGGTTGGGAGAAACAGAGTGCACAGAGTCTTTAATCTTTATAATGCATGGAAGTTGCTGCTGCTCCTTGTCAAATTGTGTTAGGTTAACGTAAACAAAAGGTCAGTAAAGATGCCTTATGAAACGCGATATGGCCCAGAAAGGTTGAAACTACTTATAGGGCCTTCCTTACTAATTCCTTAAAAGTCGAGTAATTTCTCCGTAGTTTTTCCGAAGAGACAAAAATTCCAAAGAGACAAACAAATCAAAAGGTCACATTATGAGAGCTGAATATTTTTGGGCATAGAGAAACTCTTATATGGTTGGGGTGGGTGAGATTTCATGTTCAAATGCAATTTCTTGACAATTTCTTAAACAAAATTAATCAGGCCAGTAGGTGGTCCATGGAACGCTTGATATAGGATATATAGCAAGAGGAAATATAATTAAGCTAGATGAAATCAAACTTGCTTTTGATAAAAGTACGAAGACTTTAATTCAACTCTCTTTGTCAATAACTGATTTTTTAGTAATAAAGAAACTTAATCTGTTCAAAGTTCAACAAAAACATTTAGAAAAAAAAAGATTGATTAAAGCTCTTTATGCTCGACTCTTCCAAGTCTATTCGATGTGTAGGACATGGTTCAGTTCGTAATAAGATTTGGAGAAAATTCAGGGAGCCCATTCAACATGGAAAAACGTGTAAAGCAAATTGCTAGTCCTTTGATTATGGCTTTAAGTCACTAAGCGGAGCATTTAATTAATTAAGGAGTCAGAATCTTTCATGATATGAGCTTTCATCCAACAATAACAAATTAAACATTGACCAACACATTACAAGAGCAGAATTTTTATTTTCTCACGCTGCTTTGAGTAAACTATTTTTTTCTTTCTCATCTTTTAGCCTTTTCGTTTTTGCTCCTCTGTATTATTACAGAATAAGAGACTGTCAATTGACAGGATTTTAGGCTTCTCAATAATGGTACGCTATGAGAAGAAAGTTTTAGTATCCTAAAGTAGCTATGACATTGTAACTTTCTAGTCCTGGAAATTAGAATTCCTAACCCCGTCCATTGACAGTCTGTTATTCTGTTATAGCCTAATTATAGGCTTGGTGAAAAATGATCATCACCATTAAAGGGGCAGAGTTTTGATGCTTGCTGAAAACTGCTTCTTTTTCTCCCAAAAAAAGTAAGAAGAAGAAGACATAAATTGAAGAAACATGAATAATGATACAAGCAATGATATCTTTTCAAGGTTGCTGCAAATAGCATAAAACAAGTGTAATATTGGTCTTTAATTAAGAAATTCAAGTCGGATACCTCAATTTTCCAATAGTCCTTCTCCTCTTTGCACTGATTTCTTCTTTTTTGTGTGATTTATTTTATTTTATTTTACTTTATTTTGATTTGATTATTGGTTTATAATCTTTGCATGAAACAGCTTTGTGAGATGGAGAATGAGTGTGATTTTGGTGCATGAATGTAGTCTATGTTATTGACGTAGAACGTCTGACGGATGAATTAATGGAGCGGGCTGAATGTCAGAAGTCCATACGTAAAGCTCAATTGTTCTAAATGAGTATGTCCTATTCAAACAGCCATAACTTTTGATCCGAGAGGAGTTACAAGCCTGTAAGATACTGTTGAAAAACTTATTTCGAGCCCATTGACATGGCAACTATTAGCCGGTTAGAGGTCATTTTCGAGGTCAAAATCCACTGTTTTGGTTTGTATCGGGGCTATTTTAGTTGTGTGCGCATTTTTTTTCCTAATTTATTTTAGGTTTTCTTGTTTTAATTTATTTATTTTTTGTTTCCTTTTGTTATTAGGAGTCTTATTAGGGTTGGTTGTCACCCTATATAAACTTAGTTTACGTTTTGGATGTTATTCAATGAATTATTCTAACTTATTTTAAATTTTAAGACTTAAGCTTTTATGATTGAGACTTATTATCAGTTCTAAATATGTAACTGAGTGCAAGCCTTGTTTTATCACGCTAACTCGTTGCGTTAATTATGAGATTTTTTTGTGATGATTGAAAAAGAATCTTGCAGTGATTTTGTTGGATACATGAAATTTATTATAATGAAAAACATGTTTTTGTAGTCAAATAAAAATCAAATATTTTAAATTTTTATTTATATCTGACTGTCGAACAAAAACTAAAAATAAACAAACATAAATGTTGATTTATTAAAATTGAATGTATGCAGACTTCAAAGAGTCCAAAACAAACAACGCTTTAGTCGTTGTATTTTTGGTCTGAAATTTCCCCACATAGAATTTAATAAATAATAAAGAGATGACCCATAGTTCAATAATAATTTATTGGTATTTCAGAATTGAAAATTTTAGGGAGTGACCCAGGGTAAGTCTTATCATTAAAAAGGGCCACTCATCAGTTGGTAATTGAAAGGAAATGGTGCTTACAGAATTAGCATTCATCCAACGCATAAGGTGTCGCCAAGCCAGATAATGTGATTATGATAAATCTAATAAACGTCTATAGTGAAAGAAAAATAAAATGGAGCAGAGCGATGATAATACATTCCCTTGAGCAGATTAAAAAGGAAAGCATTTCAGAATGATTTCTACCTGCAGCTGTATCATGGGAATTAAACAAATTAACAAAGCAAATGCCATTGGAAACAACTACCAAAACAATACTTATTGTGTCAAATTAGTTTAGCAGCAATTGGCTTGGAGAGATATCACTTTTGCTATCCCGCAGTAATTTTTGAGTCACCTGAGGAATTTTATATATATAGTTTTGTTTTTATCTTTTTGAAAGAAAATGTTTTTTTGCTTATTAGTATTGTCGATGTATCAGAGCCAGCTCGTGATACCAGTGGGCTGGGCTTGTAATGGCGATTGGCATTCTAATTTTCTGGACTTGAAATGGGCTCATGATTGTGTTATTAGAGGATCATTACTTATCTGCTCATTACCCAACCTCTTATGTATACGTGGATTTTGATAGGGTTATTATCAACCAGAAAACACTTTTATTAGAAAAGACAATAAGTAGACTCTTACTGTGATTGCATCAAAGTAAGCTTGGCTTCTCATGGGGACGGCGAGATTCCAACCTTCTGGACTTCAGATGGACTCAAAATTATGTAAAGACAATAAGAAGAATGGACAATTGAGAAGGGGAACAATCAAACCAGCAGAGTATCACTAAATAAAATTTAGGAAGAAGGATAAATATATATATGTTTCCAAAAAGAAATCTAAAAGCTGTATATTTCAGTAAATCAAAAACACTCAACAGTTCAAATTTCAATACCAGAAGAAGAATGAGTCCTATTTATACATGACATATTTGAAAGTTCTAGTTTTGATACATCAACTAGGATCCATTTGAAAATCAGTAGAAACAGAGGACTCTGGAGGCATCGTTCACTCTGGCTTGCATTTTTTAGTAAATCGATCAATTCGTACCCATTTCAACATCCGAAGAAACAAAGGGCTTCGGAGGCATCTCCAAGCTCTGTAAATCACCTTCAAGCATTTGCAACACTGTTGGCATGGAAGGTCTGTCTGTTGGATTCCACTGAATGCACCAAAGTCCCACAATTGCAAGCTTCTTGGCAACTTCCTCATCTCCATCTTCCTCAATTTCTAAATTGAGCTCTTCTTCTTGGTTCATTTTGTTGTATACCCACTCAGGAAAGTAAATTTGGCTTTGATTTTCAATTGTAAGATCAATATTCTTTCGACATCCAACCATCTCTAATAACATCATTCCATAACTAAACACATCTGACTTGTAAGAAACCTCTCCGAAATTCCTAGAATAAAGCTCTGGAGCATTATAGCCAGCAGTCCCTCTAGCTGTCGTCATTGTTACAATACTTTGTTCCTTTGAGCATAGCTTGGCAAGACCGAAATCCGAAATCTTTGGCTGCAAATTATGGTCAAGTAATATATTGTGAGGCTTGATGTCAAAGTGAAGGATCCTTTGGTTGCATCCTTGGTGCAAGTACTCTACTCCACGAGCAACGCCAATTGCAATGTTTTGCAGCTTCTCCCAACTTAATAGACGCTGTGCTGATTCAGTTTCTCTTGAAAATATAAACTTCTCAAGTGATCCATTTGGCATAAACTCATAAATAAGAGCACATCGTGTCCCTTCTGAGCAGAATCCCAAAAGTCGAACAATGTTGAAATGGTGTATCCTACCTATAGTAGCCACTTCATTGATGAACTCCTCTCCGTTTCCTTTGGAATGTTCCAACATCTTAACAGCAACTGGAATTCCGTTGGAGAATTTTCCTTTGAAGACACTTCCATAACCTCCTTGGCCGAGTCTCTTCTTAAACTTACCAGTTATTTTCTTAAGATCACTGTATGTGTATCTTGTTGGATTGAGTGTCCTGTAGTCTTGTAGGAAGTTTTCTATCTTGAGTTGAGTTTCCTTTTCGTTCTCAGATTTCCATGATTTGTAAAGAAGAAGTATCACCAACACAAGGAATATACTCCCTCCAATACTTGCGGCTATGGACACTAAAATTTTAACTACCGGAGAATCTGCATCGCCAAATGAAAAATGTTAGCTCAATTATGCTAAAGTTTGTTGATCAATTTTGTTAGCACAAAAGTTTTTCAGGCTTCCTTCCTCTGCCATGAGCCATCATTCAACTAGAATATTAGTTGTTTGGTCTTAATTTCAGAGTTTTCTTCTCACTTAAATCCATTAAACCAGTAAATACCTAAACTTTTCAGTAAGATTCTTCTCTTGTCTATTGAAACAGTAAGGAAATAAAATAGTATGTATAATGAAGAGGGAGCAAACACAATGAATAGGCTTTATAGAACAGAGTAATAAATTTATTGTATAATTGATTCAATTGAAAAAGAAATTCAATGATGGGATAGATAATATCAATATAAATTAAAGTATAAAGCTTCATAAAAAAATTGATAAAATTAAAAGATCAGAAAAAATTCATGGTGCTTCAAAATTTCTTAATGATAACTTACGATGGTAGTTGGAACAGAATTTTGGATTTTCGTGTTTGCAACACATTACAGAATTGCTTGTCTTGTTGAACCAGCAGTAGTCCCCTGAATTTTCGCAGTTATCGCATTCTTTATGAGGTTTCCATTCTATGAAGATTTCTGGATTTGTCAAAGCCCCTTTTGTATCATCAACCGAACCCCGAACAATTGAGGTATTAACTGTTTTATACTTACTACAATTTGAAGGCAGAATTTCTTCTGAATAATAGGACGAACTTATTAGATAAACAAAATTTCTATCATAACTGAGGCAATTTATTGGTCCAACTACTCTGTAATAACTGCTGCCGATTTGAATCCTTTCAGTGCAGTTGAATATTGTGCATTCGTGCAAATATTTATGGAATGTGGAGTTTATGAGGTTAGGGACTAGAATACTTTGTAGTGCGCATGCGGTCTCCTGCACATCCGTAATGGCAATCCAGCCGAGAGAATAATAAATTCTTTGCACATAGTAATCGCTGGAGGAAGGAAGGTGCAGCAATGTCTTGTTATTTGAGCAAGACAATTCAAACCCTTCATGGCCACAAAAGAGTGGTTGAGTTTTTAGTCGAAAGGGATATCTAATTTCTGGGCCGTTTGGGCTGCATCTTGTTGGTGGACAGAATTCATCACCATTTTCGGCTCCTGAGTAGGGTGAGAGAAGGAAGAGGACTATACTCAGTACAAGGAACATAGAGAAAGAGAGAGAAAGATGAAAACAGGAAGCAAAGGTGCCATAGTTGTTCTTGTCACTTGTTTAAGCCAATCTTTGTATACCCGGACCCGGTCTTTGTTGACGTAGCATGACGTAATAGAATTTTAAAACTAATAATTAATAAATTTATAAAACAAATTCATCCAAATCCAAATCCAAATCCAAAATCCAAAATCCAAATAACACTATAACACAAAATAAATCCAAATAATTTTAAAATTTTATTATGTCATGCTAACGTCACTAGTCTGAACCAATTGGACTGGCAATTCGACTCTGTTCCCCCAATTTAATAACTGGGTTTAGGACGTACCCCGACCAGATTAAGGTTTGGTTCTCGATCAAAAAAAAAAAAAAAATTTTATTAATTTTGTTGAGTTTTTTATTTTAATCCAATTATACTTGTGTTAATTTTTATAAATTTGACCCCACTTAGTTTTTTATAGATGTATATTAAATTAGTTATAATTCCACTCAATTTTCCTAAAATTATTTTGAACTTCGACTCACCTACACTTTCCTTAAGTCTTCTGTTAGACTGGGGCGTAGGCCAGAAAAAATTCTTAGACTGGGCTATATATATATATATATACACGTTAACTATTAAGACAAAAAATACGTTAGCCCATCTCAATGATATAAGAGCATTATTAATGAAAAAAAAAATTAGAGTTATGCATTTAATGTAATATAATATGTCACCTTTATCAATGAAAAATTTGATCACACCAAGATTTTTATACGAAGTTATTTTATTAAAAAAAAAAATTCAAGATAAAATGACAAAGTATTATAGGTGACAAAGTTATTTTTATACGAAGGATAGAACATACCAAGATTTTATATTTATTTAGTTTATTAGAATACAAAAATAATGAAAAATAAGCTATCTAATATTTATCATTTATCTTTCCTTTCCTATTTATTAAAAAATAAGTAAAAAAAACTGAGCTTAAAAACTAATTGTTTTTTCAGGAAGGCTACTTGGGCTGCAGCCCAGGCCGGACATCAAAATTCTTCCTCGTGCTTAAACTTGACATTTCCAAGTGAAGTCTGCAGCCAGGACATAGACAATTAGACATGGTTTTGACCGGATTTGCACAACAGTCTACGGAGTACTTAACAGTTAACATGTAAGCTGCCGCTGATTAAGTTGCCGGTCAAATCGTCTTATATATAAGGAAAAAGTCTATAAAGATGGCCTTATGAAACACGACGTGGTCCTGAAACTACTTGTCAAGAATAAAATACTTTTCAATATGTATATATTATGGAAATTCAGTGATGATCGGTTGAGTAGCTTTTAGCTCAATACTCACAGCATACCTATCAAACAATTTATTTTTCTATGGTAAAATACCACTGGTGAATGTAGGTTTATTTCAAATTTACACATTCAATTTGGAAATTAAAACTAAACATTGCTATCAATATACAAGCTTTCTTCCATTGATTCTAATAATAGCAGCTCTGTTGAACTTGAAGAATCTAATTCAAATTGAATCTGATCTCTTGCACAGCTTTGTTGAGAAGAAGAAAAGAAAGGTTTAGGAGGCATCTGCAAGTCGTCAATGCTCCCTTCTAACATTTCTCTTACTTTGGTAATTGATGGACGATCCGCTGCATTCACTTGTATGCACCATAACCCAATTATGCACAGTTTTCGTGCAGTCCCAGTTTCATTTTTAGCCCTATCTTGGAGCTCTAGATCTCCTCCAAGTCAAGATAATCAGATATCATGTTCAAGCTTAAGCTTTCATGACTATCTCCAAAAAGAAATTATCGTGGAGTGATAGTAGGGATGGACTAGATTTCATTTTCTAATGCAACTTTCTTGACAACTCCTTAAACCAAATTGATAGGATAGCAAGAGGTGGAAACTTACTCAAGATACAGTAACTCTTGATAGGGTAGCAAGAGGTGGAAACTTAGTCAAGATATAGCAACTCTTGATAGGGTAGCAAGAGGTGGAAACTTACTCAAGATATGATAACTCTTGATAAGATAGTAAGAGGTGGAACTTATATTGAATATTCAAACTCTTAATGAGGTAGCAAGAGGAACTGAATGTAAATGCTACGATCTTAGAGTCTGAGATAGATGGAAATTAACAAACTTATGGAACACATAAGGATCTAAACCCCTTGATAGGCTAGTAAAAATTAAAGTCAAGATAATCAGATATCATGTTTAAGCTTAAGCTTTCATGACTATTTCCAAAGAGAAATTATCGTGGAGTGATAGTGGGGATGGACTTGACAAGGTAGCAAGTCAATGAACTTAAAATCAAATCAAATCCTGAACTCAATACACTACTCTGCTTCAATTGTGTTATTACAAGAAGAAGAATAAGGAATTATTTATTGATTGGAAAGAAGTTTCTCAATTATATCCATTTTATCTTTTTACATGATGAATTTGCATCCATTTAATCCTCTGAAGAAATCAAGGGCACTGGAGGCATTTGTATTTCCATTGGCATGGAAGGCCTCTTTGTGAGCATTATATTGAGTGGTACATAATTTCATGTTAGCACTAAAGCAATGGATACCAGTGGGTTGGACTTCTTATGGGGAATGGCATTCTAATTTTAATGGGCTCAAGATTCTGTAATTGGAGTATCATTACTATCTACACATTACCCAACCTCTCTCTCTCTATATATGGATTTTGATATGAATATTGAATAGACCATTTATGTAATTTTGTATATAGAGAAGTGATTTTTTTTATTTATACTATTTTTTCCCAATTTCATATGTGAAACTCACTTTTTCTTTTTCAAATTCAAATTTATCCCGCTGTGTAATTACTTTCTCCATAGCTTTAGTAATATATTTCCATCAAACAAAAAATATTTGAAAAAAAAAAAAAAAAAGATTTCAATGATTTTGAAATTTAAAAGCTAGGGATTAAAAAAAAAAAAAAAAACCTGAGCTTGAAAAGTAATTGTTTTTCAGGATGGTTTTGACAGGATTTGGAGAATGGAGTCCACAGAATACTTGATTGCATTGTCATCTGAATCAGATCGAATACGTGATACCAGTGGGTTGGGCTTCTTATTGGCATTCGGCAGTCTAATTTTTTGGACTTGAAATGGGCTCAAGATTTTGATTATGGGAAGTGATTCTTAGCCCTCAGCAAAATTGATCTTCAGCCTCCACTTTTAAATTGATCTTCAGCAAAATTGATCTTATTGGCATTTGGCAGTCTAATTTTTTTATTTTAGTTATAGAAGAGGTGCACTTGGTTATAAGGGGTGAAGATCAATTAGATGGGTGATAAAAATAACTTCCTTATACTATTAGATAATATTACTGCCAAATCATAAATAAAACATGGAGTACATGAAAAAAGAAGGTATAAAAAGTAGGAATATTGATTCCTTTCATTTAGAGGTCTTTTTTGGGCAAAAGCATGATGGTTCCTAAAACAAATGCAAAAGCTAATATCTTTCAGGAAATCAAGAATACTCCAGAGTTCAAAATTTCAATACAAGAAGAAGAACAAGTCTCATATACAGATGGACGTATTTCAAACAGCGAGTTTCTTTCAATTGTGTCTTTGATATATCAATTTGGCTCCATTTAACCATCTGAAGAAAGAGCTATGGAGACATATCCCCAAGTTCTTTAGAAATTTATCTACAGTAAAGAAATTCAAAGCCAATGATAATACATAAAATACATTCTAATATTAAATCCTTCAGTCTAGTTTACATTTATTAGTAAATCAATCAATTGCACCAATTCCAACATCGCATGAAACAAAGGGCTTTGGAGGCATCCCCAAGCTCAGTAAATCACCTTCAAGCATGTGCAATACCACTGGCATAGAAGGTCTCTCTGTTGGATTCCATTGAATGCACCAGAGTCCCACAATTGCAAGTTTCTTGGCAATTTCCTCATCTCCAGCTTCCTCAATTTCTAAATTAAGCTCTTCTCCTTGGCTCATTTTGTTGTATACCCACTCAGGAAAGTAAATTTGGCTTTGACTTTCAGTTGTAAGATCAATATTCTTTCGACTTCCAACCATCTCTAACAACATCATTCCATAACTAAACACGTCTGACTTGTAAGAAACATCTCCGAAATTCCTCGAATAAAGCTCTGGAGCAATATAGCCAGCAGTTCCTCTGGCCGCTGTCATTGTTATAATACTTTGTTCTTTTAAGCATAGCTTGGCAAGACCGAAATCTGATATCTTTGACAGAAAATTATGGTCAAGTAATATATTGTGGGGCTTGATGTCAAAGTGAAGGATCCTTTGGTTGCATCCTTGGTGCAAGTACTCTACTCCACGAGCAACACCAATTGCAATGTTTTGCAGCTTCTCCCAACTTAATGGATGCTGAGCTGACTCGTTTTCCCTTGAGATTATAAACTTTTCAAGTGATCCATTTGGCATAAACTCATAAATAAGAGCACGTCGTGTTCCTTCTGAGCAGAATCCTAGAAAGCGAACAATGTTAAAATGGTGTATCCTACCTATAATAGCCACTTCATTGATGAACTCTTCTCCATTTCCTTCTGAATGTTCTAACATCTTAACCGCGACCGGAATTCCATTGGAGAATTTCCCTCTGAAGACACTTCCATAACCTCCTTGGCCGAGTCTCTGCTTAAATTTACCAGTAATTTTCCTAAGGTCACTGTAAGAATATCTAGCTGGATTGAGGGTCCTGTAGTCTTCCAGGAACTTGTCTACTTCAAGTTGAGTCTTTTTTTCACTCTCAGATTTCCATGATTTGTAAACAAGAACTATCACCAACACAAGTAACGTACTGCCTCCAATACTTGCGGCCACGGACACTAAAATTTTTTTTGTCGGAGAATCTGCATCTCAAAATGAAAAATGTTAGATCAATTATGCTAAAGTTTGTTGATCAATTTTGTTAGAATATTAGTTGTTTGGTCTTAATTTCAGAGTTTTCTTCTTTCAAATCAAATATAGTATCTCACTTAAATCCGTTAAACCAGTAAATACCTAAACTTTTCAGTAAGATTCTTCTCTTGTCTATTGAAACAATAAGAAAATAAAATAGTATGTATAATGAAGAGGGAGCAAACACAATGAATAGGCTTTATAGAACAGAGTACGTGAAGAAAAAAAATATAATGATGTGATAGATAGCATAAATATAAATTAGAGCATGAAGCTTCATAAAAAAATTGATAAAATTAAAAGATCAGAAAAAATTCGTGGTGCTTCAAAATTTCTTAATGATGATAACTTACGATGGCGCGGGTAGTTCGAGCAGAATTTTGGATTTTCGTGTTTGCAACACATTACAGAATTGCTTGTCTTGTTGAACCCGCAGTAGTCCCCTGAATTTTCGCAGTTATCGCATTCTTTATGAGGTTTCCATCCTATGAAGATCTCTGGATTTGTCAAAGCCCCTTTTGTAGCATCAGCCGAATCCCAATCAATTGAAGTTCTAACTGTTGTGTAATTACTACAATTTGGAGGCAGAATTTCTTCTGAATATTCGCCTGAACTTATTAGATAAACAAAATTTCTATCATAACTGTGCAATAATCGCCCAACTACACTGTAATAATTACTGTGATTTGAATCCTTTCAGTGCAGTTGAATATTGTGCATTCAGACAAAGAGGAACATAGATTATGGAGTTCCTGAGGCGAGGGCCTAGATAAAATCTGGAGTTTAGGAGGTTAGACTAGAAGACTTTGTAGTGTGCACGCGGTCTCCTGCGCATCCATAATGGCAATCCAGCCGAAAGAATAAGAAATTCTTTGCACATAGTAATCGCTGGAGGAAAAGGTGCAGCAATGTCTTGTTATTGAGCAAGACAATTCAAACCCTTCATGGCCACAAAAGTGGTTGAGTTTTTGAGTCGAAATGGATATCTAATTTCTGGGCCGTTTGGGCTGCATCTTGTTGGTGGACAGATCATCACCATTTTCGCTCCTGAGTTAAGGTGAGAGAAGGAAGAGGACTATACTCAGTACAAGGAACATGGAGAAAGAGAGCGAAAGATGAAAACAAAAGCAAAGGTGCAATGGTTCTTCGTGTCACTTGTTTAAGCCAATGTTGTTATACCAGACCCGTCAAGAGTCGGTCCCTGACATCATGTCGACGTAGTATGATGTAATAAAATTTTAAAACTTTAATTATTAATAATTTATAAAAAAATTCATCCAAATCCAAAATTCAAATAACAATATAACACAAAATAAATCCAAAATTAAAATCCAAATAATTTTAAAATTTATTATCATGCTAATGGTCACCAATCTAAGCCAATCAAACCAAATTCAACACTGTTTCCCCATTTAATAAATGGTTTAGATGTACCCTGACGAGATAAGTTTGGTTCCTGGTTAGAAAAGAAAAAAAAAACATTTATTAATTTGTGTTAGTTTTATTTTAATCCAATTATACTTGTGTTAATTTTTAAAATTTGACCCCACTCAGTTTTTTTATAGATATTTTAAATTAGTTATAATTCCACTCAATTTTCCTAAAATTATTTTAGATCATTTTGAACTTGACTCACCTACATTTTTCTTAAGTCTTCTGTCAGACTAGTTGAGTGGAGCGTAGGCCAAAAAAAATTCTTAACTGGCTAGTTTATATATATTATATATATATATATATATATAAAATACAAAAAATACGTAGCCACTCTCTGATATAAGCATTTTATGGAAAAAAAAAATTAGAGTTATGCATTTGTAATAATATATTTTCCCCTTGATTAATGTAAAATCAACGCATATAATTAAAAAAAAAAAAATCAAGATAAATGAAAAAATATTATAGGTGACAGTTATTTTTATACAAAGATGGAACATATTTTTCAATAAATAAATATATATATATATATATATATATATATAATATATATATATGTTATGCTAGCCAACAAACAGAAACTAAACTGATTCAACTTCACACATTCACAGAACACCACACAAAACGCAAGATTTTTACCGTGGTTCGATTATCCTATTTGGATAATCTACGTCCACGTTGAGCTCCGAAATGGAGAGCTCACAGCACTACTAATCTGAATAATATCAATACAGTACAAGATCCAACACAACCAGATCAAAATCTCTCAATTTCTACCCAAGAATCAACCCGTAACTCACCCAAGAACTCTCACCTGGAATCCTCAAGCCACAAGAGTAAAACTACCCTCAGTTAACTATCAATCACTAATCAATCTACCTAGTTCAAAGATTCTAAAAATGCAGAAAAAACCAAGAGAAGTGATAACGCAAACTGCAGAAACGCAAAAATTCGATTCGATGTACATGAGCCATTTCTCTTTTATACTTTTGACTCTGTGAAAAGCCTCAGCCGTTGATTTCGCAGATTGGATGGACAAGATGCACTCATGACTCAGGCCAAAACTCTGCGTTTCATTTAACTGTGAAACTACAGCTTTTCCGTCTTCACTCCAACAATCTCCACCTTGAAGACTTGAAGACTAATCAGTAGTGCAGTAGGCTCTAACCATATCCCTCTAGCTCTAGTTGGTATTGAATTACTCCATAGATAGCAACTTCAAGCAGTGCTTGAATTTACTGGTGTGATGATCTTGGTCCCCATATCAGCTGGATTTTCTTCAGTGGGACTTTCTTCGCTCAATTAAATCTTGGGCTACCACATCTCTTACAAAGTGAAATCTTACGTCAACATGTTGGTCCTCTGTGATAAACTGGGTTCTTACTCAGATGTATAGCACTCTGGCTATCGAGTAATTGGACCTTCCCTTCAGTAAGATTGCTTCGTCAGTAACCCATGTAACCACACAGCCTCCTTAATCACATCAGCAATGGCTTGTACTCTGCCTCAGTTGATGAAAGTGCAACTTAGGCTGCAACTGAGATTTCCAATATGCAGTTTCCTCCTAGTGTAAAGCAGTAAGCAGTTGTGGATTTTCTGTTGTCTTTATCACCTGCAAAATCTGAATCTACAAACCCAACAAGATCAAGCACAGTATTTCTTACTATACTTTAAACCAACATTCAGAGAACTGTTAATGTATCTTAGAACCTATTTAAGGACAATCCAATGCTCACTGCCAGGGTTGGACTGAATCTACTAAGAAGTGATATAGCAAACCAGATCAGTCTAGTGCTTATCATCGCATACATTAAGGAGCCAATCACATTTGAGAGGGGATTCATTCATTTTATCAACTCAGTTTCAGATTTAGGACACTTTCTTTGCTAAGTATGAAATGATTTGCCAAGGGCATTGTGACAGGTTTTGAGTCATTCATACCAAATTTGTTTATTACTTTCTGCAAATACGCACTCTGTCTTAGTTTTAAGCAATTGTTCCTCCTATCCTGGATATTACCATCCCTAATATTTCTTAGCATTTCCCAAATCTTCATGTCAAATTCTAAATTTAATTTCTTTTTCAGGTCTTGTATCCTAGGCTTGGATCTACTTATTAACAGCATATCATCAACATACAGCAAAAGATAATGGGCAGATTTTTATCAGGTTAAGTAGAAGCAACTGTCATACTTGCTTCTCCTAAATCCCAGGCCTGTTATAAGGTGTCAAACCTTTTGTACCACTGCCTGGGGGCCTGTTTAAGGCCTATAGGGACTTGTGGAGAAAGCATACATGATCAGGGGCCCTAACATCAATGAATCCTATAGGCTGGCTCATATAAATTTTCTCATCCAATTTCCATGCAAAAAGCAGTAGTCACATCTAGTTGTTTCTAATTTAGATTATGGTGAGCAGCAATAGCTAACATTAGTCTGATGGTTTTATATTTCACTACTGGGGAAAAGACTTCATTAAAGTCTATTCCCTCTCTTTGTTGTAGCCTTTGGCAACTAGCCTGCTTTATACCTAGTGGGTCAGAAATTGAAACACCATCCTTAAGTTATAGAGCCACTTACATTGGATCAGCTTCTGATCTTTGGGTTTGGGTACCAAAGTCCAGGTTCTGTTTACCTCTAGAGAGTGCATCTTTGCCCTCATTGCTGCTTCCCATTTTTCTTTATCCTTGGACTTCATAGCTTCATCATAAGTCTCTGGTTCTGTTCTCTGGACTCTGTACCTGCAAGCAAAGCAGAAAAAATCAGTTCTGCATAAGAATAACGAGCTGGTGGCCTTACCTCTCTTCTGGCTCTGTCCCTGGCCGTGGGACTGTTGGAGGTTAGTAGGTTGGTGTTCAAATGTCTCTCCAGTGGTGTCTTCTGCTGGTTGTTGAAGTTCAGTTTCAGATTCTGTTGGGTTTCAGTTTCGTTTGGGTTGTGTGAGGCTGATGTGTGAGTTGCTCCACCTCAATTATGTACTTCCAGTTGGGGTTAGGGTCAAGTTCAGTGTTTTTATGCTTCCTTGATCAGTGGCAACCTTTGCAAGGGAATTCACATTCATTAAACACAACATCTCTGCTTACAATAATCTTTACCCCTGGAGTCTCCCTATCCCATAATCTATACCCTTTTGTGCCTCTTGGTAACCTAGAAATATGCACTTGGTAGACCTAGGTTCAGTTTTCCTCCTCACAGTGTGTGCATAGGCAACACCCAAAAATCCTCAAATGGCATAAGTCTGGTCTTCTACCAGACCAGATTTCTTCGACACTTTCCATTAATAGCAGTAGAAACTCCTATTCACAAGATAGGCTGTGGTTGCTAGGGCTTCCCCCCAAAAGTGTTTGGTAACCCTGAAGTAAACAAGAGACACCTAACCTTTTCTAGTAAGGTACGGTTCATCCTTTCTGCCACACCATTCGTTGGGGTGTTTCTAGCTACAGTTCTATGTCTCAAAATACCATGTTCTTTACAAAAGTTGTCAAATTCAGAGTGCAGAATTCCAGACCATGTGCTGTGCGAAGAGCCTAACTTTCTTCCTCTATGGTTTTTTACCAGTGTTTTCCAATCCCTAAACTTGGTTAAAGCCTGATCTTTGGTCTTTAGGAGGAAGGTCCAGACCTTTCTACTGTGGTCATCTACAATAGATAAGAAATAGATGTTCCCACCATGGGATTTAATTTTTTCAGGTCCCGAGGTCGAGTGTAAGTACTCTAACAGTTCTTGGCTAGGTGAGTTCCTTTTGAAAACTAAGTCTATGTTGTTTTCCTAACACACAAGTTTCACAGAATCCAGGTTATCTGATGGTGTCCTTTCCAAAACCTCCCTGATTACTAGGATGTGCATGCCCTTTTGACTCATATGTCCTAGCCTAAGGTGCCATTTTTCAGTTAAGTAAGTCTGGTGGTGACAGAACTGTGCTAAAGCATTCAGGGTCAGAATCACAACAAATGTAGACCACCTTTTCCCCTTTGAGAACCAAGTTCTGTTTTTTGTACACATATAAACAACCATTTTAGCCTCATAGGAACACCCAGCCTCATCAAGAGTTCCTAAAGAAATAAGATTCCTTTTTAATTCAGGGATATACCTAACTTAGTCAACTTTACAGTTTTTCCATTAGTAAGCTTAAGGGTTATACTGCCTTACCCTTCACCCTACATACTTGGTTATTCCCTATATAAACGTTTCAGTTTCTTGAGATTCTAGGTTCTGGAACCAATTTTTGTGTGGACTCATATGGAAGGAACAGCCTAGTCCAGGACCCATTCCTTAGCAGTATCAGAAGTTGATACTGTCAAGACTCAGGCTCCCCCCATTGGTTATCACTAGAAGCAAGATTACTCTCAGTGTTACTTGTTTATTTTACTTCAACCATTCAAACATTTTTCTTGATATGGCCAGGTTTATTGCAAAAGAAGCACTTCCTAGTGTCTGATCTTTTATTGTTGTTTCCCTTCCATTTTTTTCTTGTTTTTAACCCATGTTGGTTCTGAATAGACTTTCCTGTTTGACTTGATTCTGCCCTACCCTTTACAAACAGGTTACTCCTATCTTTTCTGAATCTTAAGCTCTAATTCCCTAGCTTAAGACCAGCAACTATTAAATCCACACTAGGTATGGTTCCTGAATACTGAAGGGCATTCTTTACAACTATGTAGTCTTCAGTTAAGGATTTAATAGTGTTAGTGTATATTGTATGCCCTAGAAACCATTCTTTTGTCGGTTTCAGAGTTTTGTCTTGTATCTATATATCATAAATAATAGAAGAAAGAGTTCTTCAATTCATATATGTAAATTGCTTCCTTTATTCAGTCATGCATTTAAAATAAAGTATGTATATGAATTGTCCAGATGATTCATTTAATAGGTAAATGAATTATCGAAAAAGGTTCCCTGCGGAAGCAATATAAATTTGGGCAACTATATTATAGTAGGCATACCGATGCTTCCGAAAGATATCATGAGTTGATATAAGTACGGATGACGATGATAGTCATGTCACTAGGGCATGGTAGGACTAACGGTTGGTGAACTGTTTTTCGAACGTGACCGAATAACGACAATCACTTGGAAAGCATGTAGTCAATGATTTATCGTTTGGTTATATCGTGCACGATGTAGTCCTTTGACCTGAGACATTGTAGTCGGATCCGATATGAGGCTATGGTTCATACGGTGTATAAGTACGAGACTAATCATGTTTCGTACAATAAAGCCATTTGGTCATGCGTTGTTCATATGCGGAAACGAACGATGGTCAAGAGGGATCCATTGACTCGGAAATATAGGATCGGGGTACCGCTGACTCCATCCGGATTCGAGTTCCTAGAACGAACATCGATAATGTCGGAAAACTGAATCTCTGGCCAGAGTCTATTATTAGTCATACAAAAGTAAGTTTGTGATGACAAGTTCCGGACATATTGATCGACAAGTCGGTAGAAGATCGAGTTTAGGATTTTGACGTTCCATGAATCCTACTCGATTAGGATATCTCAATGGAGGGACTTTACCTGCATGGTACGTATGATCTGAAATGGGTTCGATGAAGTATTTCTTCATCGTGGTTTAGGGACTATGGCACATTGCGATGTTACCATAGTCGTTGGCCTCCGACGTTTCCATTCATCCGAACGGCTCACGGCTAATCCACGGTGGACCTACATGGTCACACCAATAGCCTTGAGAAGTAGAGAATGATAGAGAGAGAAATGATTATCCGAAGAGGGCTAGCACCTTCCGAGGGTAATAACGGGATTTCTATAGTAATAGTTACATAGAAAACAATTTGTGACATTTTAAGGATTAAAATGGTCAAGCAATAATTATTATATTTAATTATTATATCTTAAAGTGTTAAGATTAATGAGATAAACAAAAAACCTTTTAATAGTTAAAGGGTAAAAAGGGTAATTATGGGTTGTTAATGTAAACTAGTTTAGTTTACATGGGCCCTTGAATAATATTGATTATTCAAAGGGTAGCATATTAAATTCGTGGGTCCCTTTAAAATAAGATTTATTGGGCTTGGAAGTAAATAAATAATTGCAAAATAGCCCAAGTATATATAAGTGCAAAAGGTTGCATTTTGTTCATTATTCACGTTTCACTCAAACACAACACCAAAAGCTCTCTCTCCCTAGCCAAGGCCACTCTCTAATCCTTTCAAGGTGGTGTTAAAGTGTGGAGGTTTCATCCTTTGAAGCTAATCTTCATCATCCAAAGCAGGAGTAGGTATAATCTCATATCCAAGTTTGCATGTAAACCGTTTTTTTAATCCATGCTTTCATGCTTTCATTCTCCATCTCCACCACTCTTCTGCATGCTGAATCTTTCAAATGGTATCAGAGCTAAAAGCTCCTTGCATGTCAAATTTAAGCAAAAATGACATTTTCCAAGTGTTCTTGTGTTAATCTGTATGAAATGACATGCATGTTCTTGTTTGGCCTAGCAATATGATAATGAATGTTTATTATTTTTTCTTTGGAATTAGATTCGGCCATAACTAAATGTATAAAGATGTTTTATTTTTAATTTGAACATGCAAATCATTATATGTTAATTATAAATATATATATTTTATGGTGACAAAAGTGTTATGCATGCCTTGAAAAGTGCATGAATATTTCTTGCTAGATTCGGCCATGCATGTTCTTTGTTCATTTGTCTTTTAATAAATAAGTTTGAATGTGTTTTGGAAGTTGTTCCATAAGGGTCGAAATGTATGCTTGGATGATGGTTGTTGCATGATGATTTATTTAGAAAAATGTTTCATGCATGTTCATTTCCATGACTTTGATTAAATGATTTATGCTTTGACATGATAAAAGTGTTATCCTTTAATTTGATTAAAGTATTTTTGCATGAAGTGTATGCAAATGTTGCAAGTGTTTAGTGGTGGAATTTGATGTTAGCATAAACTTATGGATTATTCATTCTATTATATTATGATATTATATATGATTGTGGTAAATTTAATGTAGGATGTTTAATTTGATTAAATTCTTATAAGCATCATTGCATGGCATAAATTATTATATTTTGAAATGTAATATTTGGTGTTTGAATGGTTTCAAAAAATGATGATGCGATTGCATGATTGTCTTTGAAAGATAATATGTCATAAAATATTACTTAGTTAAAAGTAACTTGTCATAGAATATTACTCTTGGAGTAATAAACTCACTTATCTTGCCATGCATGACTTTTGTGAAAAGTATTGAAATGATACAACAATAAATAGTATATCTTTGGGTGAATATACAAAGTGTTTGTGTAATGATTCCTATAAATGTGTAATTGTTGCATGCCCAAGTTTAATTAAATTACCACAGAATATATATATAATATCTTTATATAGATATATTATATATTATATTCATGCCTTTAAATAATGTTTTTATATTTGGTATAAATGTTTAATATTTATTTATGTGATGAATGATATTAGATTAGAGGGTTGATCATGGGCTCCATTTGGTTTTCAAAATATTCAAAGTATTTGTAATATTCTTTTATTAAATGGCTTGTATAATTAAATTTTATTATTTTTTTAATCGGGCCTGCGTGCCTAAGATCCAATATGTAATGGAATCGGCTAGACGAGAACCGAAGAGCATCCGATGAGATCCATCGAAGATATAGTATTAGGGTAAATAGTTTGCCTTTAGATATTTTTCGAAAAGCCCTATGGTCAACCCACTGCTTTAATTTATGCATATATTGATATGTATGAATTGTTATTAAACATGGCATGCTAAAATGAATTAACTAAAGGTTAAACCTAAATCTCCCAATTTAAAATTATTAAATCCAAGTCTCCCATTGTGGGATAACTAAATTCTTTGATATAAATTTTAATATCCCAAGATTTCTATTATGTGAGGGATACAATCTTTATATCATAGAATTAAGTTGATCTTGTTCTTGGATGGATATTTTCACCTGACCAAGAATTCTATTTGTGAGGACATGTGAAAATGCCTCCTAAGAAAGCACAATGGTTCGGATTTAACTAGCCTAGGGTACCAGAATTCTATTATGGAGATACCGAAGCTAGACAAGGAATATGAATCAAACCTTATATTGATATAAAGGAAAGAGTTTCCTACTATTAGACTTAATTAACCAAGAATTCTATTATGTGAGGTTTTATTGAATTTGATAAAATTGATTCCCCACTAGAAATTTAATCCAACGAAAACCGGATCCTATTTAAGGGAGTATAGGACTCGAATAAAATAGTGGGAGCTAATTTGATTATGCATTAAAAGGT